CTTTTCTTTCAGCGGGAAGTTAAGTTGCGCAAAGTAATTTTTTTTAAAAAAGCTGTACAGCACAAGGGTACATTTTCCAATAATGTAAGAATATCGCGATAAATAAAAAAACAATATCCAGTGGTTTAATCAAGACTCGCAAAGAGATATTTTCATAATGGATATCATTTGTTGCGTTACTCAAATAAAACCACATTTCTGGATTGCACAGGTAACATTTCCAAACAGGTTGTAAAGATTGTGAAACTCAGTAAAAGTCAAAGACCCTTGTAACTGTATCCTATATCCTGGGGACGAGGGAGGAGAACGAGAGAGTGGAGAGCGTGGATGGGGTAGAAAAGAAGACGTATCGCCTCTCGTTTTAGAAGAAAAAAATCATCCATATAAAAATATGATCTGCCCATAGCAAAGAACCTTTATTTGCATTTGTTGCCTGAGACCCTTCACCCTGACTGTTAGGCCAGGTTTGTGGCGTGTCATGTGAGTGTGTAGGAGCTATTCATAACCTGAAATAACTCCATTTAGTGTTAAGCGAGCACATTGGACTGTCCTGCGATCCAATATGGAGCTGTCCGGTCCTGGAAAGCACAACATAACCATTTGTCCCAAGAAACACCCAGCTCCTCCCCGCAACTTACATTATTAGTGCTTTCCAGCAACTCAGGTTGCAAGTCCCAAGATACAGAGAAAAGTTAATCTCTATAGGTATTTTTCCTTCTATAGCTAAGGGGACAGAAAGGACTCTTTTCTTAGATGTCATATTGCACATTCCCAGAACTGGCAGTGCAGTCAGGTAGGTTTGGGCACACACACAACGCTGACACTGAAAAGATTAGCACATTTGGGTTCTAAAATCTAAATTAAGGTGAAAATATTTTTTTTCACCAATTGACTTTCACGAGCGAGAAAAAGAATACCACTGAATATTCGTAGAAAATGAATGGCCTTAGAAACAAAGCTTTTAATCTCTATCATTGCCTGAAAGTTATTAATTCTTTACTGTTGTCTTTTGGTTCTACTGTCAGAGTGTACGTTAATTAATTTGCATGTGTCGGCATAACCTATGTCTCAGTTTTTCAAAGACCCATATCATGTCCGCTTTCAGTCTTCTTTTACCAATGTGTGTGTTGTATATGGATATACTGTACAACGCACATTAAATATCTTGATATCATTTTGAGAGGATCATGATATTCACCTCTTCTATTAAAAAGTGGAAATCATTCAAACGTATAAATAGTAAATTAGTAAATCAGAATTCATAGTATAAATTGTTTTTTTTTTAAACCTTATCACCCCAAACTGTGAAATAGCACTGCATGTTTAATTGTTGTTCCTGTGGTTAAATTTTAATATTAAATTATAAAAATATGAGTCATAAATAACCAAGTAATATGACATTAAGTATGTATTAAAATGTATGGGAAGCTAATATTCGCAAATCAGGAGTGTTACAAATTCTTGAAAAGGCCTTTCTTGTAGTTTATTATAAACCTTGGGCATTAAATGGTACAAAAAATGATGTTAAATATCTATTAAAGCTGTAACAAATATGAGCTTGGATAAGTTTCGGCACCAGGTGTCTCAATATCTCTTCCATGCAGAAAATATTGGGAGGGGGGCAGTGGATAATTAGGTTCTGTAATATTGAACTCCCAGGAGACTTTGGTTGCTTTGAAGAATATTTAGGAAGATTAGACTAAGTAATGCACTTTGTATTCACTAAATACAAAGGTGCACAGTAAATATGATTTGTAATACCAATACAGTGTTCAATCGGAGAATACTTAAAATTTTCAGACGGACTATTACATAGCTTCTTGATCTACCATGGAAATTTGTTGTGCTTGTGTACACAAGTGAAAGTCCTGAAAACAATTGATCTATTTAATTGCTTCTGCCACTCATTGGGTTTTTTAATGGTATTATTGCTCGAGAACTTGCTCCGTTTTCCTTTGAGAACCTTTATGTCATAATCGGGTGGGAATAATTGTAGCTTTGGAGTGCTGACTGTCCAGGCTTTCTGTTTGTTCAGCAAGCTAAAACTTAATGATGACTGCTTAGAGTGAGTTGTTTTAAATGTAGGTTTGTGGTGCAGTGATCAACATGGCATCTCAAGATCTCATATTATGTAAGTGCAGGTTGTTTTATTACGACATTTGCATCAGATTTATATTTGTATGGGATGCCTCACGGATCGAACCCATCTGTTCCACCAATTGTACCAAATCCGAAGGCAATATTGTGTGTACGCTGTGTTACTGTGTTACTCGTTTTTTTTGAGCAACAGAATAGTCTTGGTGGGACCCATAGAAACATGAGCTTCAAACTCTTGTGCAATCCTTTACGGTCAGAATCATGGTAACCAAAACAGAATATATTTCTTAGTTTGATTCTGATTTTAATTATGAGGTTTGACACTTTTCTAAGATTTGTTGCCTGGCAATAAGAAAATTGATTCAACTTCAACTCTTTTATTATTTTGACCTTACCACTATACAAACCAGAGAATAAAAGGAAATGTTATCTGGAATAAAACAGTGTGAATACATTATTATGTTGCATTATGCATATTTTCCAAAGGTTCTTAAGTATTTATTATTAGATTCAGACTTTTACAGAGAGGATTTATCAAGATTAATAAATCATACTCATGACCAGTAGTTTTAATGCAGATGTTTATTTCAAAGCATATTCTACGTATCAGGGAAATGGAATTGAATCTAAAAGATAATTAGACATTGATCCTACTACCTCTCAGCTAGGGAAACAAAGCCAGTGTACAACAAATAGACCAACCAACAGTGATGATGAATGGACTGAACAACTAACTCAATAGATAGTGACGTTGTGGTCATTGCTACAGTGGGAAATAGTTGCTTTCTCACGAGTCTTATAAAGGGATCTATTGATGCTGCAATTAATTTTAGTAAGAAATTAGACAAAGTTCATTAGGTAAAGAGATTAAAAAGAGTTTTGTGCACTTGGATTCCTTTGGGTTTTGATTCCAGTTGAGCTGGAGGGACTATAATTGCTAATTAAGCTGTTTTTTGGTGCATCACAATGTTTATCCACCGAACATTATCTTCAAATAATAATATCAGTTTAAATGAAGCAATGGCAGTGGTAGTTTAGACAGTGAGGGAGAGAGAGAAAAAAAAATCATCTGAACTATTCAAATACTGCTTCATGTGGTGTGGTTGTTCTACAGGATAAAAGTACCCGGAGTTTACAGGAAGCCATGAGAAGGGTAATGCAACTTCACCTGTTAGTATCTGTGTTGCCAGGCAATAGCAGAGCTTGCACGACAGAGCTTTTGGAGTCGTGCTGAGAGATCATTCGCACTTCTGAAACTCAGCCGTCATAACAGTGGGAGACTCATCTGGGGGAGAAGCAAGTCTGACTAAGGCGTACTGCATTAGCAGCATTTGCTGTGGACATGAATTTGTCTGACGTTTTACTCCTGAACGAACATTTCAGTATTGACCTTTAAGTGAAAGATGAAGGAGACCAGGGGGAGAAGCATGACCCGGATAATTCACACGAAAGCTCGAGTGAGTGAATGAATATGCATTCATGTGATCTCATTCAAACAGTTACACAGTGCACAAGCTTAGAATTGACTCTATTGCCCCCCAGTCAGGACTGTAACCAATGTAAGAGATCACTCGACAGATAGCGTCTCAAATGATTTAAGCTTCAATGTGGGCAAAATCAGGTAGTTGTCTTTTTTTAAAAAAAAAGGACTCTTCTACAGATTTTACAGACCTGCGTCCACATCTCCGACCCATTCTGTAAACTGGAAATGTTGTGTGCTACAAGGTGATGTCATGAAGAAACCCCAAATACAGCTGCTGCACTAGGGAGGGGAGAGAGGTGTGTGGGAGTCACAGTCTGTTGTGGTTAAATAGTGCAGACAGTTCCTCTATCCTGTCCGATTACAGAATACAAGTTACCAGTTCCAAGTTTCGTAAAGAGAGACTGCTACAATACTTAATAATGTAGTACTTTGGTATCAGGGACTTTATAATCCTGCTGGTGGTTGGTGTTTAATCGCCCAGTTGTAACACAGATATTTTAGACAAGGGTTCTGCTTCCAGCTACCTTCTACTGTAGCATTTGTGGGTCCCCACCTACGAACATCCGAATGTCACTTCGATTCACTTCAATTATTAATGTCAGTGGCTGGACTGCTGGCTCTTTACTAACATTAAAAGCTTAACAATGGATCAGTGGACCACCTGGGAATGGTTTGAACTTACAATGTTTGCTCTGCACCACCTTAAAGTGGTTTCATATCCCTATCTTTTAAAACCGATTAATCCCAGATCATGAGTCTGAATTCATGGGGTGTACTGCAGATTTTATATCAACCTGACATGATTTTAACATCCATCATAATAAATAATAATCCTTGCATTTGGTATAGCATCATCACGTCAAAACACTTTACAGAATTTACTGTTAAAGTTAACTGATTGCATTTTGTAGGTGAATTATTTGAACAGTGTAAAATTACTAACATAACTGACATAAGAAACAGACGAGTTGTGCAAGATTAGTTTGTAATCTAAGGCAGTTGCACTTCATCGTGGTTCAGTTTCATTGTGTATTCTTGACTTCAATGTTGATTGTGCCCATGAATTAACAGCCATATAGAAATCTCCAAGTTCTTCTAAAATGGTTCTTATTCCTTCCACACAGGTATAAATGTTGATTTGAAATGGGATGCCATGTGCCCTCTTAATTGGTGGTAAACCATCACAGATTTATAAAATCAACAACAGGTTAAAATTGCTGGGAAAATGCCAGTGGAAATGGGGTCAGCTGGCAGCCATAACTGGTGCCGCTATGTGATGAGATTGAATGTATTTCATTTAACGTTTAATTTTTATTTCCTATGCAAAAATAGGCAAGACAGCAGTGTCAGAAGAGTTTTACTTTCAACCACTTACACTGTTAATATCTGTTCTTATTAAACCTTTTTGTTTTTTATACAGAGTCCAACAAGGAACATCCTGTGCAGGCACCCGGGGTGATCTGGAGAATGACCGGTGGCCTCTACAGTATCACAAGAGGAGCTGTGGGTGCTACACTGGGTGGTGTGGCTTGGGTTGGAAGCAAAAGTTTTGAGCTAACCAAAACAGCTGTGATTACTGTTCCAGCCGCTGGCGTTGGATTAATGAAGGGAAGTATGTCGGCAGTGACAGGGGGTGTCAGTGCTGTGGGATCAGCTGTAGCAAGCAAGGTCCCTTTTACACCAAAGAAAAAGGACAAATCTGACTAAATGTTTCAGTTATAACTAGGGTTGGTTTTCTTTCAAATATTCATCATGATTTTAATATACCCGGCATGGCTTGGATGCAGTGCCAAGGTATAAGTTATTTTTAAAAAAACAGAAGGCAACCTGTGGGATATGTTGCTTCATCCTACAGTGCTCATGCCATGTTTCATCAGGTCTTTGCTGTCACTTTGCTGTCATGATAAACTGAAGAGATCCTCACATGCTATGTTGTCAGTTGATAAGGTATACCATTTGCTTCTAGGCTTCCACTGGCCGAAGCATTGGCAACATCCTGACTGTTGTGGTTATACCAAATATACAGCATATTTCCTGGTCCTGATGTTTGCAACTCAGATCTTCACAGCATTCTGTTTCTATTGCAGAAAAGCATGTATTCGCAACACCGAAAGGAAACCAGAAATCCCTTCAAAATCTATCTATTAGTTTCTTTTTATCATTTTATATGCCTGTTTTGATCATGTTAGTTAGTTAATTATTTAGTTATAATGGAAATAATTTCAGTATTCAAGTTTTACTCATCTGTTTGCAATAGAACACTACAAGGGTGAATGGGCACTTCAAATGGATCCAATATGCTGGTGGCAGGAAATTTTGAATGCTTTGACGAGAACAATTAGCATTAAGTCTTCAAAAAATATTTCCTAAATGCAGTAAGTCACTTTTTTGTATTGGCACTAAATTGTGCTCCTATTTTTTGTGCCTAATTAGGTCAGTGTTGGGAGCAATGTCGAGCTATAGCTTTTAATGCTTTTCCTTCGGTTGCACATTAAGATGTGCAACCTTAAGTCTTCACTGTGGATTAATGTTACTCAATATAAATTACACTGGCTCAGCATGTCATTTCAGTAAAATATTGCATACAACCCAAGATACTATCGCTGCTATTTTAGTGTTTCAGTTTTGTTTATGATACTATGTGGTTACCTTCCTTCCCAGCACCAATGTTCTATACATCTAATATTTCTGAAATGTGTCCATATATTAAGATTGAAATAGAGAGTTGGTTGCTGTTGACCAAAATGTTTAGTTTTTGTCTATCATAGAACTATTTTTGCAAATATGACATGTGAAAAGCTATGAATTATACTGTAAGTCTGTATTTTAATGGAAATAAAGTTTCGAAAGCTCAAACTCAAATATTCTCGTGCTGTGTTTTTTGGTCAGCTAAGCAACTTACCACAAACACACACTGGAAACCTGTCACCGTGCTTTGGAGTCTTCAAACAAAAGTACTGAGAATCTTACATTGGTAAGATTCAGTGTGGCATTCATTGGTATTCAGTGTGCACTATCCCCAGAGGCTTTGCACCTTGCTTAGCTAATCCTGGGGCATTTAGATGCAGGTTGACAAAAAACAGTGCTTGGGAATCTCAGAGTGTACATTGAGTTACAGAGCACTGGCAAGCTTCCTGAAACGGGATTAGATTCAAGCTTGGACCATCTACTTTGTTAGAGACTTAGCTTACAAGGTCGTCTGGAGCTACTACTTCTGACCTCAGAACACAAGTCTTGGAAGCCGAACACGAGTCAGAAACTTGCCTGATTCCATTTCTTATTTGAATATAATATTTAGAAAAAGTTGCCCAGTCAAGTCATTTGGATGAGCTCTATTTCCGGCGGTTACAGTTCCAACTTACCGACTGTTTTGCCATAAACTGTTGGAAGTCCATTGGTACTGGACTTTTATTACGTTTAAGCATCTCGAGGCTCTTTACGCAACGAGTGACTTTGAAGCGTAGCAATTGTTATGTTGAGTATGTTGCTTAGGGACAGTGGGAGTAATTTGACTGCTGCACCTATCACTCTGACTGACTCTGAATTGTTACAGAGCCTCTTAGGACTAGCTGAATGGGCTTTCCCTAACAGGCAATTATTATTTTTTAAAAGGAAAATCATTTCTTGAAGGAGGGGGCGGGAGGAGAGTGACTGGACTACTTGAAGAGCTAAAAATTAAATATCAGCCGTGTCCCCACATTTACTTTCTTTTATGTTCATTGTAGACCACAATAAATTGCTCGGGCTGACTAGCGGGAGCATGTAACGGGATGAGATTCAACTGGTGGCACCTCCATTAGGCCACTTATTTGGGTTGAGCAGTAATACCTGGCTAAGTCACTGACAACAGCATTTTAGAATAAGTATCTTTTTCCCTAAACCCATGCTCCCATTTTAGAATCACAGCTTTAACTTGCGCCCCGGAGTATAAAGACCATACCAGAGATTCCAGTGACGCAATGATTCTTTCCAACGCAAATTAGATAGATTAGGAAATAATGTCTCGGGATAAAGCGTATGGTTTGGTTGGGGTGTGTGACTGCCAGGATGGTGGAAGGTGAACTGGATGGACATTGGTCTTCTTTCTTTCGGCAAATTCTTATGATCTTACATAATGACTTGACTGCCACATGTAGTAGTAGTAGTAATAATAATAATAATCCTTGCATTTGATAGATAGTATCTTATCACATCGTTGAGGTGTCTCAAAGCTCTTCACAGAATATACTGTAAAGTAGATTGACTGTGTATTTTGTGGGAGAAACTAACAGTTTATAACGCAATTTTCCCAAATGTCAGGAATCTTGTATCAATGGATAAGAAACTACTGCACTAATCAAAACTTGATCCTTATAAAAGAAGTGGTGGTGGGGTGGGGGTGGGGTGGGGTGGGGGGGGAGTGTGAACCAGATTGGTAACCCTGTCTTTCACCCTGTCTTAAGTTTGTGGTGAATATGGTGATGAAAAATATCTCCACGCAGAAGTGTTGGAAGTCTCTTTAAAGGTATTTACAAGCTATAGAAAGATACAAGGCATTTAAAAATATTCTTTGTTTTTTTTTGTACATTTATTATCTAAAACGTCTTCAGCCAACAGTAAAATATACCTCGGTCGGGCTATGTCATTTTAAAACCCAAGTCCTTTTGATCCATTGCTATCGACCGAGCAAGAAAGTGCGCAAACTTCATTTAAACGGGGGATGTGTGGGGGGGGGTGGGGGGGATGTGTGGGTGGGTGGGGGGGTGTGGGGGGGATGTGTGGGGGGGGTGGGGGGGATGTGTGGGGGGGGTGGGGGGGATGTGTGGGGGGGTGGGTGAGGGGTATGCGTGTGTGGGGGGGGTGAGGGGGATGTGTGTGTGTGGGGATGTGTGTGTGGGGGATGTGTGTGTGGGGGGATGTGTGTGTGGGGGGATGTGTGGGGGTGGGTGAGGGGGATGTGTGTGTGTGTGGGGGGGGTGGGGGGGGATGTGTGTGTGTGTGGGGGGGGTGGGGGGGATGTGTGTGTGTGGGGGGGGGATGTGTGTGTGGGGGGGGATGTGTGTGGGGGGGGATGTGTGTGTGGGGGGGGTGAGGGGGATGTATGTGTGGGGGGGGGATGTGTGTGTGGGGGGGGTGGGGGGGATGTGTGTGTGGGGGCATGTGTGTGGGGGGGATGTGTGTGTGGGGGGGGTGGGGGCATGTGTGTGTGTGGGGGGGGGATGTGTGTGTGGGGGGGATGTGTGTGTGGGGGGGGTGAGGGGGATGTGTGTGTGGGGGGGGTGGGGGGGATGTGTGTGTGTGGGGGGGATGTGTGTGTGTGGGGGGTTGGGGGGGGTGAGGGGGATGTGTGTGTGTGGGGGGGGATGTGTGTGTGTGGGGGGGGTGGGGGGTGAGGGGATGTGTGTGTGTGGGGGTGGGGGGATGTGTGTGTGTGGGGGGGATGTGTGTGTGTGGGGGGATGTGTGTGTGTGGGGGGGATGTGTGTGTGTGGGGGGGATGTGTGTGTGGGGGGATGTGTGTGTGGGGGGGGATGTGTGTGTGGGGGGGGATGTGTGTGTGGGGGGGGGGGGGTGGGGGGGGATGTGTGTGTGGGGGGGATGTGTGTGGGGGGGGTGGGGGGGATGTGTGTGTGGGGGGGGGGGGGGGGGGGGGGATGTGTGTGTGTGGGGGGGGATGTGTGTGTGGGGTGTGTGTGTGTGGGGGGGGGGGGGGGGTGGGGGGATGTGTGTGTGGGGGGGTGTGGGGGGGGGGGGGGTGGGGGATGTGTGTGTGGGGGGGGGTGGGGGGGGGGGTGAGGAGGATGTGGTGTGTGGGGGGGGTGTGGGGGGGGGGGTGTGTGTGTGTGTGGGGGGAAGAGAGAAAAAAAAGAGAAGTCACCTAATAAAATGCGACGTTTTCGAAACGCGTCGTGTGGTTCCATTTTCCCCCTTTTGTTGTCTATCAAAAATATATATAACCACTAAATTGGGCACCAAACAAAACCCCCCCACCCCCATCCCCCCCCCCCCCCCCCCCCCCATCCCCCCACCCCCCCCCCCATCCCCCCCCCCCCCCCCCCCCCCACCCCCCATCCCCACTCCCCCCCCCAAAAAAAAAGTTTCTTCTACAAAAAGGGTAGGAAGGTCCTCTCCTCGGCCAGACTGACGGACATGTCCCTGAGCTCCCGGGGGGAGCGGACCATCCTGTAGCCGAGCCGGGCCATGGTGGCGTTGCAGAGGCTCTGGACCAGGGCCACCATGTCGTAGGAGAGGCGGAACCTCCAGCTCTCGGCCGTGGCCGCCGAGTCCCGGACCGTCGCGTACTTGTGGTGCCCGGAGCCCCCGGGGCCGCGGGTGTTGTTCAGGATCCAGCGCCGCACGTTCCCGTCCACCTCCATCCCCATGAAGCTGTAGATCTCCCGGGTCTTCCTCCCGGGCTCCCGGGCCAGGTCCTCGTAGCGCACCAGCATGTACTTGCCCTTCAGCCACCCGGGTCTGGACAGCCCGGTCCCGGCCGAGCTCAGGAAGTCCTCGCAGGTGGTGGTCAGGTGCGACACGTCCAGGTTGTAGGGTCTCCTCCCGCTGCTCCTCCAGACCTTCCAGGGCCGGAAGCTGTCGGGGAAGGTGTCGATCCTGGAGGCCAGGATGCCCCGGGGGTCCCGCACCAGCTGCAGGACCTTGACGTTCAGGCGCGGGTCCTGGACCAGGGTCCGCAGGTCGCTGATGCCCGGGATCCTCACCGTCTTGATGGCGATGTGGCTCATCTGCCGACACACCCTGGAGGCCAGGGTCAGGTTCAGGGCCCCGCAGCGCCTGGCGCACTCGCCCTCCTCCAGGGGCTCGGGCCGGCGGGGGGCCGGGGCCGGGCACACCGGGGGGGAGCACAGGGCTTTGCTGGCGCCCCGGCGGAACAGCCGGTGGGTCTCGTGCCTCTCGGGCGCGGGTCTGATGTAGTTCTCCAGGAAGTGCAGGTCGCAGTCGAACAGACTCCGCAACAGGTCCCGGTAGGAGCCGAGCAGCGCCCGGCGGTCCGGGGGGTGGCGGACCCGGTTCAGGCTGTTGTTGTTGGTGATCAGAGTGGTCTGGACGTGGTACAGCGGCTCGAACAGGTAGAAGACCCGCGAGTGCTGGTTCAGCAGTTGCCCCGCGAACGACGAGCCGCTGCGGGTGGTCGCCAGGATCAGGATGTGGTTGGGTTTGGGGCGGGGGGCGGGGGCGGGGGCCGAGCCCTGGCCGCAGCCCCGGGGGGTCCGACTGCCACTGGCCCCCTGGTCCTGCTCCCCCGGGTCCTGGTCCCCCGGGTCCCCCTGGTCCTGCTGCCCGGGGAGAAGCGATGGGGGTGAGGAGGCGCAGCCCGTGCGCTTGGCCACTCGGCAGATGTGGAAGGGTTTGTTGGCGATGAAGGTCCTGATGGCCGTGAATTGGACGGCCACCGAAGCCAAGACCAGCAGCAGGACGGCCTTCCAGGAGCACTCCATCTCCACCGCGGGCCACACGGCTCGGGGGGCGCCCCCACCACCGCCGATCACTCCCCCCCCCCCCACCCCGAGTCCAATCAACCCTACAGCACAGCCAGGAACACAGAGCACAGCGGTTAGTGAGCAAACAGCGGGGGGGGGACTCCCTACTAACGGTTACAATAACATTAATCCGTCTTAAACACCGCAGAGCCATTGATGAAGGCTCAGCTCCAAATGCTGGTGTGACCCCCACAGGGGCTCTCCCCACAGGGGCTCTCCTCTCCCAAGTCAACCCCACGTGGAAGATCACAGTCAGTTGAATATCCACGCGAGAGTCACACTTGTTATCCCCCCCACCACACACACACACACACACACACACACCAAAAGAAGGAAATAATAATAATAATAATCCTTGCGTTTGATACAGCACTTCTCACGTCTCCACAGCGCTTCACAGAACACACTGTAAAGTGATTGACTGTATATTTGTGGGCGAACGCGGCAGCCAATTGCGCACAGCAATGTCCCACAAACAGTCGTGGATTGAAAATGACCAATTTATTATTGTTTGTGGTTTTGGAGGGATTATTATTAGGCTCTGTGTGGAGTAAGGAAACTTGCCCAAGGTTTCGCCCTGACCTGCCGGGGATTGAACCCTGGTCTCTCGCTTGCGAGGCGAGTGCTCTACAGGACTCCACAAGTAACATGTTTTCTATGGGAGGGGATTGCAAAGGAGAATCCTTTTGCCTCTCTGCACTTTCGAAACCAATTACAGAAGGGCTAAGACTCTATTATTGCTTCCCCAGAGAGGAAAAAAGACTATTAAATACACAGTCCTGTTTTATTTTTATATTAATTTCCCCGTTTGCCAACCAGGCTTTGCGAGGACAGTTGAGCGGGATCAGAACCCCAGGGCTTCCTCACGCCAGAAGGGGATGTCATGAATTTAAGAGCAAAGAAAATGTAAAGTAACATTCAGCGAAATAGCCCGACAACTGGAAGAGCTTGACATCGATCATCGAGATTAACTGCTTCACCTTTGCTCCAGATGTCAGAATTTTAAACCCCTTCCTTTTGGGGTGGGGGGGGGCGGAGGGAGAGAAGGGAGGTGGGGGAGTGGGTGCTATTTTGCTTTGAGATGTCAGAACACAATTTAAAGTATAGGTGGCCACTGGAACAGTCGCAAGAGCAAAAGGAAAAGTTCCTACATACTTAAAAGCCCCAAAAATGATATTGTAAAATTGGGGCAATATTCCCACACTCTGAGGCTGCCAGGAATTTCGCGCAAAATTAACTTGACGCAAAAATCAAAAAGCCCCTATACGGTAGTCAACGTCGACAACGACAACAGCGACAACAACTTGCATTTGCATTGATGCAGCAGCTTCATCGCTGCATAAGGGAACGTTGCAGCCATAAACCACCCGATCCCACTTTGCCCAACAGATCGATTCCGTTCCACAGCACAGTGATGAACACCGTCAGGTGTAAGCCAAATATTTCATGTCACTGAAATCGAAGTTGAGACGGTTGTTTGACAGTGAGCACGTTAGGGAGGACCCGTTGCTGTTAGCCACACCGTGGCACCATTGGTTTCAGAAGACTGAATGCAGCTTTGTGAGAAAAGGGTCTATTTTTATACTGCTTTTTATACAAATTTTTATACAAATTTTTACACAAATGGGAGCTCATTTGCAGCAATGCAGATGTTTGCTCACAGTGTTGTGAAATGGGCAGACCTGCACACGTGATGCTCCAGACCCCATCATCATAATAATCCCCGCATTTGACACCGCCCCGGATCATGTCGTTGAGACGTCTCAAAGAGCTTCGCGGAATATACTGTAAAGTGAATGCAATATTTTGTGGGCGAAACTCAGCCGCCAGTTTCGCACAGCAGTGTTCCCATGAGTGACCCAATTATTTTAAAGGGATTATTACCCCAGGAGAAACTTCAGCCAATCCACTAAGAAGTCAGGTTCCTGCTTACTTTTGACGTATGTGGAGTAAGAAAATTGGATGCACACAATCAGCTTTTTCACAGCGTTTTGAAAACACCTGATGTTGACCTTGTGTTCCTGCGCACACACACACACACACACACACCCACATACAGATACACACACACACTGTCACATAAAGAGTGGCTACAGGTGTGGACTTGTTGGGACTCATTAGCGGGGGGTTGGGGGGGGGGGAGTAGCAAGTGTATAAATCCTGCTTCAATATCTTGTGGAAGTGAATTGGTTTCACTCCCTCCCAGTAACCTTGTGCGGAGGGCAGAGCATCACATCAGTTGCCACCGACACCCATTGCCTTACCTTTGGTGCTGAAAGTACTTTTTTTCCTTTAGTTATCAGAAGACAACAGCAGACGTGAGAAGGTGAGCCATGTTTGGGTGGGGTTGGGGGGGGTATAAGATTCGAGTGAGTTCACTGAAACATGAGTTCTTCTCGGCACGTTGCGTCAACCATGTTTCTGTATTGGTGCAAAGACAGGTGAGGGAGTGGGGGGTTAGTATTTCTCTCTGAATACCCCAAAGATTAGACACTGCGAATGTATTCGGGCGATGATTCTTACAGATCAGCCATTGGGACTGACTGTAATTCAATTTGCAAAGAGTCGCACTCCAATTCAGAGAGCAATGGGCTATTACTGTTTGGGAGGGAGACGCACACAATCCATCTCGGGGCTCAAGTTGTTGTCAATGGGATGGTCTGTAACTTTCCAACTTCCTCCCCACCCCTCCTCCTCCTCCTCTGCTGAACTCGAGGACCCGACCAAGGACATGAATAATAATAATAATAATAATAATAACTGCATCTCACCCAAATGGTCACAGTCAAAATGTTCATGAGTTTGTCTGAGTCTTAGCCCTCCCTCCTCTGTGCGTATCGCCAGGCTATTTAACTCTGGAAGTTAGGAGATCTATTTATCCCAACACAAGCATCAGCGAACACACCCCGGAATACAGCCTGGAGTGGTGTGCCTCTGTGTAATGGACAGTGTCATCATCAACTGGTCCAGTGGGTACCATTTTTTTTTAGGCTTTATTGAAAGCGAAATGCATCAATTCTGTTTTCTTGCCCAAATTCTCCCTCCGACACATCAATTGCACATTAACCAGGCAATCACATCGCACACATTATATTGCCACTTGAGCAGAAGGCAGCACATCTCATCGACGGCTCACCGATTTTCTTGTTTTTTTTATTATATGATATTATAAAAAAAAAGGGAGAAAAAAAAACCTATATTGAACTCCTGTGGTTGAGTCGAGAGAATTCTTTCCGCATTAACGCACCGATTAAAAGTGTGTACTGCGCTGGAGATGAGTGGAACTGAAACAGATGGATACTTCAATGCACAACTGTATGGGTTAGAAATAAAATTGCTCCATTGGAATTAAAATAAATAGATTTATCAATATTTAATCACTAACCACAGAGTGAAATTATACAGGAATCTGTCCCCACCCAGTTTATTATGGGGCGTGCAAATAGCTTGAGATATAAAAAGCTGCAGGTTGTTTCAATTCATGGCCAAGAAGCTAATTATTAAGGTCATTATATACTTTCTTCCACCCTCCCATGCAGTTAAAATCGTCCCAATACAGCTCATTGCTATGGATATCAGCCAATCTTCTCTTTGCAAAAAGTTAATTGCAACCTGGCATGTTTTTGGAAGCAAAACCCAAACACACACAATTTGTACTAACTCAGGGACAGCATCACAGCAGCTGAGCACAAATCGTTTTTTCTAATTAATTTCTCTCCTCTCACTATCCAGCGGTGTGGCCCGACTTTATGCTACAAAAAGAAANGTTCGCCTTTTTTTTTAGGCTTTATTGAAAGCGAAATGCATCAAGACATTGGAGCTCCTACAACTTTACAATATATATATTTTTTTTAAAAAAACCCTGAAGCGCTTTGAGACGTCCTCCTGAGATGAAAGATGGTATATAGCAAGAGCAAATGGGGTGGGTGGGTGGGTGGGGAGTAAAATAAGAGGTATCTCTGTGTGTGAACCCCAGTGACTGTTCTTCCCACGTGAAGAATGCACTCACTCACTCACTCACTCACTGGGTGAACTGATTGGGTCTATTGAGCAAACTCACTCCTTCCCAATTTGGGACATGATCAGAATGGATCGCCTGTCGGGCCTTGGATTGGTTTCGGTGGTTTGATTGCTTGTCGGGGGCTTCTTTGCAAAGTGGTCTTTGGTCTGATGATCAGTGGAATAAATGGAGAGAGCGATTCCCTCGCCTTTTCTGCAGAAGTAGCTTAAGACGCATCAGCCAAGTCACCGGCTCTCCAACGTTAGAAATTCACCGTCTTTCCCAAATCGTTTAATTTGCGTTTTTTTTTATTTATTGGGGGTTGGGGGAGTCGCTCCAGAGTCTGTGGTGTGAATTGAGATGGAATGGGGGTAAGTGTCAGTTTGCAAACCAAACGCCTGGGTTTTAAAGTCCAGGTTTATATTGTTATGGCGATGACGCCTTCCTGAGTGCCACCAGTTTTTTTTTGTTAACAAAAAATGCGAGTTTCGTACTTTTGTGCGAACAAAAATAAAGCTGTTGTATTACCGGATCGTTTTAGAATATAAATGGATTGTTTAACAACACAGAAAGCTCTGCCCCCAACGAGCAGAGGGGTCTGACTCGTGTTGTGGGCTCAATGGTATTTCGGGTACTATTGGATGATTTTGCCTGAAAATCATTGCAATGTGTCGCGACCAAATCGTGGCAATAACGCGCTTTGCGCAAACGGTTCGAAGTGATCGCGGCCACAACGGAGCGAAGAGTCACCGTCGGTATATTTTCTCTGTCTCTGAAAATGTTGGATCTGCTCTCATGAACCGAAACGGGTTTCCTTTTTGCAACAGAGAATTGGGGCTGTAACAGGGGATGAAAGGCGTGAACCGCCCTCTAGCGAACAGAGTAGCACATAAATAACGGGGAAGTCGCACATTTACGCACAATATAAATGTCCTTTATATACAGTACATCAGAGACATCGGGTGACCGGAAAGTCGTGATACCATCACAGTGTCTAACGAGTCTCAGAGA